TGTTTTGAACTTAAATGTACCTGCTGAACTACTTTCGAAAAAGTCTTAATGCCTGGAAAACAATAAAGGGGATATAATAGTATAGGGGGTAAATAGTATTGTGAATATAAGGGCGACGGTAATGCTTGCCAGCATTGTGATCACCGGAGACTCGCGGGCGGAACAAAATATTGCATATGTCCCCGAGGGCGCTAGCCCGAGGAGGACATATTTTCGTATAGCACGGAGGGCCCATCGGGCCCGAGTGCTATACGATTTTTCCGGCCGCGGGTCGAGGTGATGTGGATTATATCCACCAGCGTGAGCTTTTTCTTACAGATATTAGTTTTTACTTTAGTTTCTTCAAGAGATCCGTTTTTAATTTAGTTTCACTTTTACTTTCAACATGTTTTTAATACGATAGTTCCGCCCTCGTCCCTCGAGGCGAGGAATGATATCATGTATATCCATCAGCGGGCGTTTATCACGAAGCTTCAGTTTGCAACAATCACAGCAAATTAATGTACAAGATTTCAGAAAAGTTACGAAAAAATCATTTTGCTTTTGGTTTAAGATGTAAAACAGGCCAAAATGACTGACTATAGAACGAAAAAACCGGCTGCTATCAAATAATGTTTCAGCTCATTGTTTCAGCTACATATTTTAATGTAAACGATCAAAATATAGGCCCTCCCTCCCTCTCTCCCTCTCTCCCTCTCTCCCTCTCTCCCTCTCTCCCTCTATCCCTCTATCCCTCTATCCCTCTCTCACACTCTCCCTATCTTCCTTTCTCCTTCTCCCACCCTCCTTACGTCCCGCTCTCCCTCTATCCCTCTCTCTTTATCTCCCTCTCTCCTCCTCTCCCTCTCTTTCTCTCCTACTCTTCCTCTATACTTCTCTACCTCTCTCCCCTCTCCCTCCCTGGAACCAGAACAAGCACCACCAGTCGCCACAGAGCCCTCTACTGCCAAGTTAGTTGTCATTATCATGTCAGTTACCTGGGTAACCAGGGTTACCCGGGTAACCAGTTACTACAGTTTCTGTAGCAGCTACTGAGTGGCTGGACACTTAAAAGTAGTAACCCAGAGAGCTCGAGATCACAGTCTGATCATGGACATTTAATATGAAAGTTAAAGATCAAATTCATAACATCAATTTAAATGGCAGTTTCAAAACAAAAACAGGGCAAAATATCTTTCGGGAACACAATAGAATAACACGTAAAATTTCGGCCTACATTTCAAGATTTATCGACTGAACTAGTGAAATGAAAATGGTAAACACAACTGAAATGGTAAACACAAAACGATTATCGATACTATAATAGAGATCACCGGCTTAGACTTTAGTCTGAACGTCTCCACGAATTTGGTAACCATAGTATCAGTGTGTCAGTGTCACGTGTTAAAAAGCGCACGCTGGTGGATATATAATTATATACAATTAGTAAAAGGTTTGAAGTTCAAACCTTCGAAATCCTAAGAATAAGTCCTAATCCTCGCTTGACGCTTCACGTCCCCTACTCATTTCCTTGATCGTCCTATCAACTTATCGTAGTTTCTAAGTCTAACCTCCTTGGACTTGCTTTTATGCACACATCCAGAATTTTTATTAGCATTTAAATTATTATATTTGATTTTATTTCCACTTCGTGATATTGTAACGCGGTTAAATTTTAAAATTCTATTTTCATACTTTTATTCGGCTTTTGTTTTATATCTGAACGTATTTATGAATTGATGTATAGCCAAAACGAGTTCGTTAGTGTTCTCTTTGGTAATTTCATGTTTAATTCCTGTTTGTTTAATTCCTGTTTGTTTAATTCCTGTTTGTTTAATTCCTGTTTGTTTAATTCCTGTTTGTTTGTTGTTTAATTCCTGTTTGTTTCATTCCTGTTTGTTTAATTCCTGTTTAATTCCATGGATACAACAATTTATAGTGGCGAGCTTGTCTATAGTTGACTTTTATACAATTACAAGCGCCCGCTGGTGGATATAATACATATCCTACTCGCCTTGCAGGCGGAATTCCGTATAGCACTCGGGCCCAATTACGGGCCCTCCGAGCTATACGGAGATATGTCGTCCTCGGGCTGTGTGCCCTCGAGGACATATTGCATATATTATATCGCCGCGAGGACGCGGGCGATAAAAATTTCCGCCCGCTAGACTTCGTGGATATATATATACATGGGAATGTCGCCATTAGTGATCATTCGCACTATTGTATTGATAAAGAAAAATATTCTCTTATGTTTTTGTTACCTGTGGAAATGAGACACATCCAGGCTGTTGAGCACAGTAGAAAATCGGAGTCTGGGTTACTGACTGCTCGGTAGTCTCCCCTCCGCAATCACACTCGTCAGTTAAGCAATCAGAGAAACCATCACAGACGTAATATACAGGGATCAAACACGTCCAATTTGTTGTGTCCAATACTGGATATCCGTGCATCGACATGGGGCAAGCATAAATGTCTTCAGGTGATAGAAGTAATCTGTCCCTTTTCTTCATTTTTTGTTATAAAATGGTCTATTGTATGTAAATGAGGTGTCATTCCGAAGAAGGAAATCGTCAACTTCATCTCTGCATATTTCTATCAGAAAATCTGCACGTAGTATCGAGTAAAGAGGTGGACTTTTGTACACCTCCCTGGTTATAATTACCTTTTCTTTAGACAAGGGTTCTCGTGGGTCATTGGAGCCGAGGACGAGGTCAAGGATGAAAACTTGAATTAATATACCTATTATTAAATGGCTCCTTCTTGTCATGGCACTAATTTTCAAGGACTGCCAAAAAATTCGGTATGCACGAGTGCAGCTGTCCAACGTTGAAAGAAAAAAGAAGAAAACTCGACTGCCCTATATCTAAGATAGTTTATTAAATACAGAATAAATACACGAATCAACGCTCACGTTCTTGAAGATATTATTTTTAAGAAACCAGCAAAATAATATAATTTGATCAATAGCAATTATTCTATGTTTGATGCTGTGTCGAAAAATAAATTTGTAAGACTAAGCAATAAGAATAAGATCCTCATCAGTAAGAGAGCGTTGATTTGTGAGAAAGCGCGATCCGCGAGCGTTGATTCGTGGATTAATAAACATTTATTCTGTATTTAATAAATTTTTATCGTGGTGTCTGCAGTTGCTGTTGCGGCTACTAGTACTGCTGCAGCCCCAGGCATTGGCCCAGTTGACGGCGCAGCAGGGTATTTTGGTTCAAGACTTTAAAGAATCGCAAAATTAGCCGTATTATTCCTCCAAACTTACGACTTAGATGGACTGAGATTAGCCCTTAAAATACAGCCTATACTTTTTACCTTATGATTGGGTCGTTATTCTAAACAGAATTTGTCAAGAAGTGTGGCTCAACGGTCACTTAATGTCACTTACAGCTCAATTATAGCGACCAAGGTCTGCGACCGGCTGAAACAGGTGCATATGATCTGTTCACGAGATATCCTTGTGTTTGGCTTGTACTAACTCTAATTGGGTATTTCGTCACAGGTCATGCGAATCGATAGGTACATAAAACCAACACAGCGCGCAGTTTAAGGACTTTCGGTTTCATTTTAAAAAGCATCCACTTTGACAAAGCATAACTCGCCATCAACCCCCCCCCCCCCCCCCCCCCCCCCCTTTGCAGCTTCTCGGCTATCTCATACCCAGCAATCCTTACATGGCTAGCGATATTACTACACGGTGATCGCCTTTTCACAGCATGTTGAACTCCGCGCGCGCTCGCTAGTTCATTGCATTTGCACGCTTCAAATATTCCAAGAATGCAATTGTACCGCGTACCACGTGATACGATTAGCCAATCAGAGAACAACAATCTGCAAAGTTAAAGCTACGCAGTTTTATAAGGCCTAAAATATGACTTTTCGCGATAATTCAAAATCTACGTTGTTTTCAATTTCCCCCCTGGGGGGGAAACGTTATTTTTGCGAAACGAACATTTTGCAAAAAACCGGAAGACGCTATCTCTTTTACTTTCAAAGTTAGGCTCCAGCCAGAAAGGTTTCCTGGGAAAACTTACTGGGCCGCGCTCAGTCTGTCATTCCGCCTAATCTCTATTAATGAACATAATAGCCTGGGGTCCTCAGGTAAGCCTAAAACGTGAGGCAAGCAATGACATGAACAAGTTAACTTGCTCAAAAAATTAAAAACCTAGTTGCTGGTAATTTGACCCGGTGGTGGGAAGAAACACTAACAGTCCAACTCCAATCATTGATCATGCGCTCCTACTAAATCGCTCTCCCGAATTTTAAGAAAATTCTTGAAAAAAGGCCCTTTGGGTTAATGAAATTGATTTGAATCGGTGTATTATTTTGGACGCTGATTCCGAATCACCCCCATGACGTAGGGTAAAAAATTGATTCACGATGTCAACCCTTCCTAGCTCGGTGAGGCCCAGTGGTGTATCGCGCTACAACTACAAAGTAAAAATGCTCGGGTTAGGGTTAGGGTTGTGGTAAGGGTTATAATTATGGACATAGCTTCGGGTTACTGGGCCGCGCTCAACCTGTCATTCCGCCGAATCTCTATGTTTATGAACATGATAGCGTGAGGTATAACGTCCCCAGGTATAGTAAAGCTTCGGGGTTATGGTTAGGGTTAAGTTAGGGTTGGGATTAGGGTTTATGTAAAACCGTTTTGTACGGCTGCAAAACCATAAAAACCAAAGTCTGAAGTCACGTGAAATTTTCGGGCGAGCGAATTAATAAGAGCCCCAATCATGAGCATCTAAGGATTACTTTTAATCGATGTTACGATCGTCGATCACAATGCAATATATACGTCCACTTATAGGGAAGTGTATTTGGGGACTCAAGCGTATTGATTAGAATTAAAGGCTTGTAACGCATCATTACACATTATTTTACCTGGGGACCCCAGGCTATAATGTTCATAAACATATAGAGATTCGGCGGAATGACAGGCTGAGCGCCGCCCAGTAAACATTATCGACCAATGTGCAGTGTGCTCCACCGTAAAGAAAGAAAACACACCGTTTCAAGAGTACTATACCAATTAATATAGGGTCACAGTATAAATAATGATATTGATATTAATAAATAACGTAATATTTATATATACATATACGTATATATACTTTCTACGGCTATAACAGTCTACACAAAAAATAAATATAAAATACCTCAAATACCATGAATACAGTACGGTGCTAATCAAAATCAAACTACAATTTTGGAGTTATTAGGAGTTTTTTGAGTGACGTTCCTGTCCAAACGTTGCTGTATTTATAAAAACTATTCCAACTGCCTAAAAATTACATATATTCTCATAAAAACCAAACATCATTACCACTTCATATATCAATTCATTAATATCTAAGAGTTCCATTTTACCATAATTATTCCTCAAAAGTCCATGATATTGGACATGCATGATATTCGGGTATCGATTTGATACAGCCTTGTAGTGAGATACAAGAATATTATAGGACATGGGAGAAGGCCTGGTTCAGGATCTCCTTGACCTCCACAGCGTGTACTTTGGAGACACCCACTGCTGCAGCCGCGCACTCACTTCTCCCAGCGTACTCCAACTGAAATGGAGGTTAGTTCAGGTTGGCAATTGGTTGATTTTTTAGGGTATTTTTACTCTACTTTCTGGACGAAAACGATTGCACAAACTTAATAATGAAATCAGATTAACAAAATCGTTATTAACAATTAAAATTGCAGCAAATTATGAGATAATTTTGATACAGAAATGAGTATTTGAAAGAGAAGCATTTGAGAACATTTACCTCGTGCCCGAGAATATTCTTGACTCGAGGATTAACAAAACTCCACGCTCCACTGTTCCTAGACTCTTCTTGAGCCCAAAACTTCCCTGCAAAAATAGTGCGTTAGAAATAGGAGACCATGTTACAATGACAAACTGATAATAGAAGTGATATCTTCGGGTGTTTAAAGTGATTTTCGACTTATTTGCTTTAAATGTTTTAACAAACTTAATTAGTGGTGAAGTTAATTTAATTAGCATTAAATTTTTATCCGCATTGCAGTAATTATTTAAATCCTGAGAAATTCATAACTCCTATTCCTTTAATTTTGCAGTATACTCAGTAATAGAGGCAATGGGAACGTCGTTCAATTGGGCTACTACCCAAATCTACCCATGATTAAGTATTCACGCGTCAATGATTATACAGTCCATAATTCAAATTATGTTCTATTCCAGGTAAATTAAAACGACTTGCCAGATCTCCATCAAACTTCATTAGCACAAGATCACATTATCCGCTCAACGGCAGATTTTCGGCCAAATTTTCATACAAATCGTGTTTGGTCTATTTTAAGCCTCTCTTTCGGATCGGGTAAAAAGCCTGGAAGGAGGAAATGATATTCGTTCAATTTCCCGAACATGACCAATGGGAAGATGGGAATGAGTCAGCAGACCAATGAGAGAAGAGATGCTGGTCACGTGATCCACCTGGGAATGTCTATTAAACAGTTTCACTAGCAAGCAATTAGCCTCCGGTGAAGTTAAAGAAAGGATTTCCAGCAAGCTAGTCTCACATTTAACGTGTGAAAGTTGTCTTGTGTCTTAGCAGTTAGAGAGCTGTGAGCGTTAGTTAGTAATAAGTCTTAAAACTAAGAGCTGTGAGCGTTAGTTATAAGTCTTAAAACTAAGAGCTGTGAGCGTTAGTTGTAAGTCTTAAAACTAAGAGCTGTGAGCGTTAGTTGTAAGTCTTAAAACTAAGAGCTGTGAGTGTTAGTTATAAGTCTTAAAACTAAGAGCTGTGAGCGTTAGTTATAAGTCTTAAAACTAAGAGCTGTGAGCGTTAGTTATAAGTCTTAAAACTAAGAGCTGTGAGCGTTAGTTATAAGTCTTAAAACTAAGAGCTGTGAGTGTTAGTTATAAGTCTTAAAACTAAGAGCTGTGAGTGTTAGTTATAAGTCTTAAAACTAAGAGCTGTGAGGGTGAGTTGTAAGTCTTAAAACTAAGAGGTGTGAGCGTGAGTTGTAAGTCTTAAAACTAAGAGTTGTGAGCGTTAGTTATAAGTCTTAAAACTAAGAGCTGTGAGCGTTAGTTATAAGTCTTAAAACTAAGAGCTGTGAGCGTTAGTTATAAGTCTTAAAACTAAGAGCTGTGAGCGTTAGTTATAAGTCTTAAAAGTTAAAACTAAGAGCTGTGAGTGTTAGTTATAAGTCTTAAAACTAAGAGCTGTGAGTGTTAGTTATAAGTCTTAAAACTAAGAGCTGTGAGGGTGAGTTGTAAGTCTTAAAACTAAGAGGTGTGAGCGTGAGTTGTAAGTCTTAAAACTAAGAGTTGTGAGCGTTAGTTATAAGTCTTAAAACTAAGAGCTGTGAGCGTTAGTTATAAGTCTTAAAACTAAGAGCTGTGAGCGTTAGTTATAAGTCTTAAAACTAAGAGCTGTGAGCGTTAGTTATAAGTCTTAAAACTAAGAGCTGTGAGTGTTAGTTATAAGTCTTAAAACTAAGAGCTGTGAGTGTTAGTTATAAGTCTTAAAACTAAGAGCTGTGAGCGTGAGTTGTAAGTCTTAAAACTAAGAGCTGTGAGTGTTAGTTATAAGTCTTAAAACTAAGAGCTGTGAGCGTGAGTTGTAAGTCTTAAAACTAAGAGCTGTGAGCGTTAGTTATAAGTCTTAAAACTAAGAGCTGTGTTAGTTGTAACTCTGGAAACTAGTGGGGTGTTGAACCATATTTGTTTTGACACGCGGCTATAGGCTTTAATTTATCGATGCTAGAAGCTGATTGGTTAATCACAGTCACGTTTCAAGAAAAGTATAGTTCACCTCCCGACTATGATGGCTCAATGATGATGTGGAATTTGTAGTAAGAATTTAAATTGTTCCCAGGAGATATTGAATTTTGCAAGCTTTAGGCAGGTCTGCCGTCTGTATTTTTTTAAATAGCAAAATACCAGACCACACCAGCCTCTAAATTAATAAAACTGTACCCTGAGGTAGTACCTTGAGGTTCTCAGCAAACAGATTAGTTGGGAGAGAGCCAAGAATAAGGGGGAGCTATTTCTGTCTCCGTACAGGCTACACTTTAATGAACTTCTCTCAGAAAGGAGGAAAGTTTATCTCGTACTAAGCATACTCAGGGTCTGCGTTCTTTATATGGCCTCTCTCAGCAGCTATACAGGGTGTTTAAATTATTCAAATTCCTCCTTGCTTGGGTCTAATATGATTGGAGAATATTGTCCGCGGTTAGGGTTAATTACCTGCAGTGAAAAGATTCCATAATATTAATAAGCGTGTGTTCCGGGTATAATTAGAACTTTAAATAATCCGCTGTGATGTTGATATTTTCATGGCTCCTAAAAATTGACAATGCATTAACTTTGTTTAGTCATTTCGAGCAACAAACGTTTTTAACTTATACTTATTTTATGTTTTCCATCCAGTGTTTTTTACTTTTTACTCACAGCTAGTTCCAGAAAATGCGAATGTCACTGCCGAGAAGCGAGGAGTGAGGACTAAATCTTTTAACACAGTTCCGTTAAGGTAACTGCAGGCTGCCAATCGAGGCGGTACGGGTTGATTCAGCGGAGTAGTTACAAATAGAATACTATTTCCTGTTTGCATTGTCCGGGCTCCAATTACCTCCTCTCTCCCCTCTCTCTCTCTCTCCCTCCTCTCCCCTCTCTATAAAGCTATAACACAGGTGCAAACAGCGCACCTAATCTAATTTGCTTTGCTTGCCGGCCGTAGAAGACTAGAGTACAAAGTCGGCAGTTTACCAGTGTTGAGCTAGTGTAGTTATCATCACATGAGAGAGGGGAGAGAGAGAGAGAGAGAGAGAGAGAGAGAGAGAGAGAGAGAGAGAGAGAGAGAGAGAGAGAGAGAGAGAGAGAGAGAGAGAGAGAGAGAGAGAGAGAGAGAGAGAGAGAGAGAGAGAGAGAGAGAGAGAGAGAGAGAGAGAGAGAGAGAGAGAGAGAGAGAGAGAGAGAGAGAGGGGAGAGGGAGACAACTAATAAAATAGCCTAATGTTATTATTTATCTCTCCGCTCAGGTACTGCATTTATCACTTTACTTATTGCAGTTCCTTTTTTCTTTGGAAAATTTGGGGAGAGCGCGGGACGGTGCTGTTGTTTTAGTTTTTCTGTGTTTTTATCTGGTAGTTTGTTAGTGATATTATTTATGGTAGGTGCCAGGGGACACTGCGTCTTGTTTGGGAGGTGATAGAATCATAGATACGGCTCACCAAATACATAATCGAATAGTGGGCTGCTGCCAAAAGTCAAATGATAGAGTTTCACTTTGAAGTTTAGAGCTAAGGATAAGGTTTCCACTTCTAGCTATCAATAAGAAGGAGTAGAGCTAGAAGAAGATAGTATTAACAGTTCCTGCTCAGTGTGACATGTTCTTAACACAGGGATATCTTTTGTAAGTTTGTATCTATGCCTGTCACAGGTCACCGTCGCAGCTTCAGTCAAAAATAAGTAAAAATATTGCCTAAGAAACCCTCAAATTATTTGACATTAAATCGTTTGGTAATGTTATCAAGTTTAAAATATTTTGTCAAATCGTATTTTGGCGAATTTTGGAAACTATGCATAGATTTACAAATTTTTGTTGTGTTTGAAGGTTTAAAAAAACATGGAGTAGTTAATTCGTATATTCCACAGGGAGCTGCGGCTACTTTGTAATTATGCATCGGATTACCCTTAAACTGACACAGAAATGTTAAAGCACACCAACTTTCGTGAATTACCAATTCAATATGAATAATTCAATTTGGACTGAAATCACAATATAAAATATTAGCCACATTAAAAAGTGGCCCAAATGATAATGGTAGGCAGGTAATGATAAACCAATACCCCCCCCCCCCCCCCCAACCAATAGCGTACATATATATATTGTACCAATAGCGTATTTAAACGGTGTAATCATATTGGAACAGTCGCCAGATTGAGGCATGAAAGACAGGGCCGGGGTGAACACTCCGGGTCACGTGATCAGGGCTGGGGCCGGGAGAACACCCGGGTCACGTGATCAGGGCTGGGGCCGGGGAGAACACTCCGGGTCACGTGATCAGGGCTGGGGCCGGGAGAACACTCCGGGTCACGTGATCAGGGCTGGGGCCGGGAGAACACTCCGGGTCACGTGATCAGGGCTGGGGCCGGGGAGAACACTCCGGGTCACGTGATCAGGGCTGGGGCCGGGGAGAACACTCCGGGTAACGTGATCAGGGCTGGGGCCGGGGAGAACACTCCGGGTAACGTGATCAGGGCTGGGGCCGGGGAGAACACTCCGGGTCACGTGATCAGGGCTGGGGCTGGGTGAACACTCCAGGTCACGTGATCAGGGCTGGGGCCGGGAGAACACTCCAGGTCACGTGATCAGGGCTGGGGCCGGGGTGAACACTCCGGGTCACGTGATCAGGGCTGGGGCCGGGAGAACACTCCGGGTCACGTGATCAGCTGACACACTTGATACTAACGACCTAACACCTCGTTTCTGTCGTCATCAGTAGCAGGGACATTAGCGTAATGCAAATGAAGGCTGCAACATTCTCTCTCTAGGTCTCGCTAGAGAGAGAGAATGTTACTGTTCGTCTGTGTCGAGAGAGTTTGACGTGCGTTTACGTACTTCTTATATAGAATTATCAGGGCAGTTCACAGCTTTGCTGGAATCACCTATAATTATATCGCGTACTAAACACAAAGTTTAACAGCTCACTGTGAATTAGTGTTGTATAAGTTAAAGTTACCTTTGCTATATTTTCCCAGCGGATTGGGTTGTATTTTGTAGCGTTTATAAAGATTGAGACTGCTCCTTTATAAAGTATTTTGTAGCGTGTTCACCGGGCGTGTTTGAGGTGCCATCCTGCCGACTGGTATCAGGAGCAATT